GAAACTATACAGGTGGACATGAGAAGATGTGTAGGAATATGCTTTGAAAATAGAAAAACAAGCATAACAGAAAAATGAAAAATTAATGGGCGGCAAAAATTGTAGTCAAATTTGTGAGAGAACTGTAAGATATGGGCTAAATGGATTTACATACAAAAAAGCCAAACAAAACCATTACTAACACCTAAACAAGAGAAAACAAGCTTGTAATGGACTAAAGAAACAGTCATGGAGTGCAGATGATTGGATTAAAGTGCTGTTTAGTCATGAATCACACATCTACATTTGTCATGGAGATGACACAATTCCAGTAAAACTGAATGCCTGACGTAAACACTACATTTATGTAGGGAGTCAGCATGTGGTAAAAGTTCAATGGAGATGGCAACCACCACCACAACAACCTCCACAACTACCACCACAACAACTACAACCACATTTTATTTTTTTACAGATACTAGTATTTTTTTATTTGACTCTATGCGTCTATCTCTGTGCCGCTTTAACACTCAACCCTCCCCCCCATCCTGTGGAGCTAATAAAGGATTATTTTATCATATCATATATTATCTGAACCACAGTTATCATTACTGCAGCGTGCAAATCCCCTAAGACTCATAGTCCATCATCTCTTAAAACAGATGCGTATGAAATGACATAATTAAACAGATTAGAGTATCATAAAATCATTGTCTGCCCTTATCACAAGGCACAACAATTCTGCACTGTTCACTTTTGTTAAAGCATTTGTTTGAATTTGCACTTGCATTTACATCACAGATCATACAAGATTCACATAACACATAATATGATCCTATATACAAAGCTTTCTCATTTTTAGCTTGATTTTCTCATTTCATTGGATATTAATGTCTGTAATAGAATCTGTGGATGTCATAATGAAGCAAAGATTTGTATAATAATATCTGAAGGTATATTTAAAGGTGACCTAGTCAGAGCTAACTTTACAGCCTAAAATACACGTTCTTTCAGGGGCCGAGGCTTTCTCAAGAGAAAAGAGGAAAGCAGGAGTAAAGTGGAAAGGGAATGTCAAACATGAGCACACAAACTCACAAATGTTCAAGCACACAACTGCAGGGGTGTCACATATCCTTATCAAAGAGGCATTGTGAAGGAAGTCAGGCTAGGTAAACTCAGAAGGAAGGAATTCTTTCGGAGTATCAAAAAACAAAACAGAAAAAAACATAATAGGTGTTTTGGTTGTGTCACTTTTAGTTTCTTACTGGGATTCTTGGAGTGCTCACTGAGTAACAGATTAAGTGATCTCCCTCAAGAAACAAAAGGGTATAAATTAAATGAAATAAAGCTTATCATGTGATTTTCTTTTTTATGGTTATAGTATCGCCGTCAGACTCTCACTCTATTCTTACTCTCAGTTACTGTTTTACAAAGTTGGGGAGCTGCATATGTTTAAAATTTTGCTATTGCACAATATCATGAGTTAAGAATATCTGCAGTTTAATTCAAAGCAGTCCCTTTTTAAAGCTTCTGCTCAATAGATTTCATGAAGCTAGAACTTCGCCTTAACCCATCCCCCTTCTCATGTAGAGCTGTCCAATCACATTTTGGAACCTCCCACCAGAGGAGTTACTCAGTCTCATGGAGTTTTTTGTGTTTTTTCCCCCCAATTTTCATCAGACATTTCTGCTCTACTTCACTGAACTTAGCTTAACATAATTTGTGTGTTCACAACACTGCACCTGGGTTTGAAAAAGCTGCATTCAAGGTTCATGGACCAACATTGAGTTTTTTTATTTTCTTCAAGTAAGTTAAGTAAGTTAAAACATGTTTTTTTAAATGTGCATTTCTTTATAATCATGTATTACATAGTATGTGATAGTGGTGATGCAGAGCTACTGTTTAATGTAATTACATTCAAGCAATTCTTTCTTAAACAAGTCGTTATTTGTTATTTGATATATGTTAAATATTAATATTATAATTTGTAGTTAAATATTATCACTGAGTGTCAGAGTAAGAGACATTTGAGCTCTTCCCACTCTTTTTCTATTGTTTGACTTACTGCCAGTCTGTACCAGTTCTCCTAGTATGACTTTAAGTTGGAGTCTATGTTTAGAATACTAATATGTTCACAGTTTTTCCCCAGTTAAAAAGCATATGAAGCATATGAGCTGATCATTACTGCACTAAACAGCACCAAATCCAAATGTTCTACTTTTAAATTGTATTTTACAAATCACAAAAAATCACTAAAATGAACCCTTTGACTCTCAAATAGTTAATGAATGTTAAGGATTACAGTTAATACAGCTCTAAGGGACATTTGTTAAAAGTTGCTATTATATTTGTTTAAAAGCTCCACACAAACAATGCTTACATGCTGAATCACCTTATAATAAACTTAAAATCAACCCAAAACCCTTCTAAAGATATTTCAGTGATCTCTTTAAGGCTGTTATTGAGCTGCTCTATTGATAACTAGTCTAAGATATCACTGCATGAGGTTAATACTGTAGTGAAATTCCTTAAAATCAAAATTTGTGCAGTTGAGGCATATCTGTTCCTGGTAATGTAATTAAATCTTTAGGATTATGGGAATCGATGTGTGAACAAATTTAGTTTTGATTTGGCTTTGAGTGGATTTTTAGTGAGCTCTTGTTTCTGAGAGTCACTGTGTATCTTGATGAAAGGGAACATTTACTGCCCATGGAAAAGCATAGTTTTCCCTCTAAACATTATCATGTCATGATAACCTTTTACAGGGACGACAAAGATGTGTTTCCTGTAAAAGTTAATGCAAGTGGTCTGTAATGTGTGTCAACACTTATGTTACCTCATAGACCAGTGTGTTGCTATGGATGAAAGTGGAATAAGGACGAGAAAGGAGTCACAGAATGGCTCCACTGACCTTACCAAAGACAACAAGGAGGTGGTGAAGGCCGTTGCTCTTCAAAAAGATGTAAGTATGAACCAGTGTGCTTGACTTTTATATACATGCAGGTTCCTGAGAACAAGTCTCACTAAATTTTCACACTAAAGGATCATCCTTACCTTTTTACAATAATAGAGCCTTGGAACTGAGTACCAGGCAGTACCACAGCAAGCGTCTCTACAGATTAACTCCATAATCATCCACTCAGCAGTGCAATCCAGACCCCTAATAAGCTCCATAAGACCTAAAATAAACTTATGGGAACTGAAAGGCTTTCTCAGGTTAAAATAGGATTATTATGATAATCGTTGCTCTCATCCTGGAAAAATCCATTCACACATATTTTCCTGCAGACTTCTGTAATTCTCTTTCTGGCATAAAGAAAAGTCACTGGCTTTATATCTTTATATCAAGCCCCTCCAGATCGTTGTTTATTTTAATAGATTTTTAAGATTTTACCCAATGTTTGCATCCTTATATCCTCAGGTAGGGCCCTTCTGGGAGGCTGTCTCACATTTGAAGCATAAATCTAAAAGTGACCACACCTTAGGCTTTAGAATAACTTACCTGAAGAGATAAGGCTTGGAAAATCAGTTACTTTGGTCTCTTCTTTAAACACATTTTATAGACTTGTTTTTATGTAATATTGCTTTTTATTGCTTTTTAATTCTGCGGCGTGTCTTCTTTTATTATCAGCATTTACAGTCATGGTAAAAGTAACCCTCCATCAATCCTAATTCAAGACAGTAAAAAAAATATCCAGTCCTTACTAGGTACTAAAATGATTTAAATAAACATTAAATGAACAACAACACATAGCATATTAGAATGTTTCATTATTTATCTACCAAAAACTGAGCCAAAATGCAGAAGCAGTTTGTGGACAAACTAAGTACACCCAATGATTCAGTATCTTGTAGAACCACTTCTATTTGCCATAACTTGAAGTAATCATTATCTTATTGGTCTCTCACATTATTGTGGAGGATTTTTCCACCTAATTTTCTTTACAATATTGCTTCAGTGCTCTAAAGTTTGTAGGTATTTGTTTATGCAGCTTTTCAATTAGGTTCAAGACTTAGACAGGGAACTTCTGCACCTTGATTTAGTTTCTTTTTTCAGCCACTTTGTTACAGATTTGCTGATGTGTTTGGGGTCATTCTTCTGGTTCATGACTCACTTTTGGCCAAGCTAGCTGTTGGACAGATAAATCTGACTCTAGAATATTTTTGTATACAGGAGTTAGCGGTTGACTAAATGACTACAAGGTGCCTAAGTCCTGTGGCTGAGTCACCTAAACCATTACCCCTCCACTAGTGTGCTAAATATTTGGCAAAAGTTGTTTGTGTTGATATGGTGTGCCTAAAGGACATTGTTCCCTAACAATTTCACCTGGCAACCCATGCAACTTTTCAAACTTTGGCTGTGTTGTCATGTTCTTTTTAGATACAAAAGGCTATGTGTCACGATCTGAGGAGACAGACCGTGCGGTGGTGTGTGTGGTGGACCCAGGTGCGAACACAAGAAAGTAGACCGGAGTAAACTTAAACTGAAAGCGAGCCTTTATTATGGCTGATGACAGGTTTCAAAATAAGCAGAAATACCGTGACTAAACTGAACTTAAACTAAACTGGAAGCAGATACTGATAAGCTATGAAGACTCAGAAAACCATGACGATGACTGTAAAGACTGGCCGTGAGGACATGAAGGGTGGGAACACAGACAACGCAACACAGACTGCATGAAACACAGAGACTAAATACACATGAGGGATGATCAGGGGAAGTGGCCACGCATGGGAGCACAGCTGACACACATGAACCTAAAGACAGGACAGGAGAAGTGAAACTAAATACACTGACATTGAATACAGACTTTCAAAGTAAAACAGGAAACATGGAGATGGAGACATGACATGAACTAAACATAACCACGCAGACATGACGCATGACAGGTAGATGCACGAACCAGGGAGACTGAGTACAGGGAGATGACATAAACAATTAAGAAACAAAGGGCTAAACAGCACCCTAGAAATTAACTAGACGAACTAAGCTAAAGCATAAATGAATACAAAAGATACATAAAACTCAACACTGGGTCACACGACCCAGGACCATGACACTTTGTCCTTCCAACCCTTCTACACAAACCATGTTTGTATAGTCTTTTTCAAATTGCACTGTCATGATCCGCAACATTTAACATGCCTGTGGATTCTGAGATACAGCTCTTGTTTTTTGGGGGGGTCTTTTTTCACCTTAGGGTGAATTTTCTGGAATATTCACTCTTGACAACATTGGGAAGTGTCTTGAAACCTCAGATTTATTGGCAGTAGTAATTGCTTCTTTAACATGTTTACTAATGTCTTTCCTTTACAGCATTGTGTTATCAGACACTTGAATGCTTCAGACCCACAATTTGACAATGTTTCTGCTCTTAGAAGTGGTCATACTTGCTGATGATCAGTTAATCAAGTGTATTTGATCATTGGCAGTTGGCTGGTACTCAATTCTCACTGAATGAATACTTAGTTTTCTATTATTATTTTTTTACATACTGCTTTTTGAATTTTGGCTTAATTTTTGTTAAATAAATGAAAAAGTATAATGTTTTGTGAAACCATTTTTGTCTATTATGTTTTGATAAAAAAAAAATTAGAATTGAAAGAGTGTGTCATTTTTATTTTATTTTTTCATATTGATTGTGTAACATTCCTCCTGTGTTCTTACTGTTAGTGGAATGTAAGCTGAACTAGTTAATTATTTCTTTGGTGCCACGGACAATGGTCAGTGACCTGGATTCAATTACTCCAGGATGTGTCTTTCCTGTATTTCTTTATTAATCAATACAATATAATAAATATACTATCAAGTTAGGTTTGCCTTTAGCCAGTTTACATTACTCATGCTGGTTTACTTGTGAAAATTTAATAGGATTAGCCAAATTCTTGGCAAATACTAACTGAAAACTCAGAGGTTATTGGTTGTTGTGTTGATCCTTGGCCAAAATTATTATGATGATATCAGATCAACACCAACAAAGGGATATCAGGGTGTGTGCTGACATGCCTCTGAAACATTGTGATCAAGGTGGTGTCTTTGAATATGCAAACTAAAGTGGTGGTCAACCTTTTTATGAAGACGGGACCATACTCTGTATCCTCCCTTACAAGATGCATGCAAGGGTACAAAAGAGAAGAGTCTGCCCCTTTGTTAGACCTAAGATTCAGAATGAAAAATGTGGTTTCACTCTGGTTGAGGAACAGTGAACCATCTCTTTACTCCTCTCAAGGATACTTGGGAAATTTCTAAACAAGTATTTTTTCATGAC